TTTCTTGTCTACTGCTAGTCCATACGGACGATCGAACTCGCAGGACTTTTCCCTTTCTTCCAAATGACTGATAAACTCTCCCATCAGTAGAGAATATTGATAGACGATTGTTCCCCCGTTCACCAACATACACTACATTGCCAGAGTCAATAGCAATACTGACTGGCACGCTTAGTTCTCCCTCTCCTGTTCCCTTCTTCCCAAACTGCCTCAAGTAGACTCCATCGACTGTGAAGACCTGGATTCTGTGGTTGTCACGATCAGCTACATACACATTGCCCTCTCTGTCAGTGATATGCTACATCAAGGCTCATGAACTCTCCATTGTTAGAGCCTTCTACCAAACTACTGGAGTATGTGAGGTCCGAGTTCAGAACCTGAATTCTGTGGTTGTCATATGTCAGCAACATACACCTTGCCAGTGTGAGGATGAACTGCAATGCCTCGTGGATACAGGAAACTGAAGAGGTCCACTGCCCAGGGTACCGACTGTTCTGAGGTGTTTGCCAGTGGATGACAACTGCTGAATATGATGGTTCAAATGATCTGCAACAAGAATGTTTCCTCCATTGTCTATTGCTATACCTACAGGCCAGTTGAACTGACCAGGACCTGAGCCACGAGTACCAAATGATTTCTTCTCTCCATTTCCACTGATGATTGATACAGAGGCACTATCACGTTCCGCTACCACCACCTCCCCTCCATCCCTGACAGCTATACCCCATGGCCCCTTGAGGTCTCCAATGATGTTGGCTGGGGCAGTGCAGTTGGGTAGAACGGTGACAGTGAACGGGCTGTTCAAGATCGGGTGCTCTTCTATTAGAATGTGTAGTTGATGTTCTCCAGTGACCTGAGGGTGGTAGCTGATGTCGTAGATGTTCTGATTTCTTCTCTCCACAGTGCCCCTGACTCGACTGCTGCCATCGCTAGCGACTAGCTCACACCTCAAGCTGTCTACAGGTCTGAGGTAGGCTTCTCCCTCCCTATCTAAAGCCTCTACAGAGACAGCCACAGTTTGCCCTCTCGTGGCTACCTTGATGCCTTCACCTGAGGCTTGACACTTCTCAGGGCCCAAGTACACCCTACCAAACTGCTGGCAAGTCTTCACCAGTTCAGGCAGACTGTGAGCAAACACCATGTCGGCTTCCTCGGCAAGAGCCAATGTCTCTGGCTTGAAGCTGCCTGTGAGGTCGTTGACTTGTTTCACGAGAGGACTCTTCACCCTCAGAATCTCCCCCTGGTTGCAAGTACGTCGGCTCTCCTCCACAAAGTCCTGGCAGCTCCTCAGCTGGCCCAGTTGCAGTTCAAACCCGTCTCGCTGCGCTGCCAAGGTCTTCAGTTTCTGCTGTGCCGTCTGTTCTGATTGACCCACCAGCTCTGTCTCCCTCGCCTCTAGAGCTTGTCGCAGATGTGCCATGACTGTGCAGATCTCTGCCACCACAGCCGTCTTCTGTTCTACAACTGCAGCACTTTGGGTGTTCACTGACTCAACGGCTCTTTCTAACGTAGCAATCTGTTCTTCCACTGGCTTGAGAGAGTCCACGATCACTTTCTCTTGCTTGGGAAACGACTCGGGCACCAGATCGTACCGGTGGTCGCGATGAACACGAACGATGCAGTCTCGACATATCAACTCGTCGCACGTCTCGCAGTAGCGGTCTGCCTCCCTTTCCTGATGCTTGGAGCAAAACAGAGTCTTCTTGAGAGGAGGAACGAGGGTGGTCACGTCTCCAGTCAAGGTGTCCAGGTCAATGATTTCATGTGGTTTGAGATCGTCCCATTCCTGGTGGGTTACGACGCAGCGCTGGCAGACAAACCCGCAAGTGCGACAAAAGCCAGTTGCTTCGCGTTTCTTGCACTTTTTGCACATTGTTTGTTTGCTGGAGCTCACTTTCTTGAGGGCATCTTGGACGTCGAAGAGGTAGTGGATGTAGAAGGCTCCTTGGAGCCCCGGGACCCCGCCCCACTGGAGTGGTGAGTGTCCTGGCGACATTGTGGACATGGGAGACTCTGTCCCTCTCGTCCCCCACGTACCAGACGTTGCAGGCACTGCTCGCAATACACGTGGAAACACTTGAGCAGCCTCGGCTGTTTGTAGGGCTCCAGACATATCCCACAGGTGACCTGGTCCTGGATCTTCTGGAGGGCTTTCTCGGCAGAAGAGGAGGGTTTGGCGGCCATGGCTCTGTCAGTAGTGCAGCAGACAAGCTAGAGAGAGGGTCTAGTGAAGACTGAGGCAAGCAAGCTGCTCAAGCAAGAAAAGGCGCTGTCCTAACTCCAAGAAAAGGGGCGAAACTGAGGCTGACAGGAAACAGCCCTTGACTTTCTGTCACTCTACCAATATTCACAGTCTGCGCTTGCATGCCTGACCATATTTGGTGTTTTTAGTGAGGTCTGTGAATACTTTTAATTGTTGGACCATCCAATCAAATTTTACTGTATAGTATCACTATGGGTGGGCCACTCTACATTATGGCATGCCATTTGTTCCGGAATATTCAGCTATTCTATAATCTTATGACATTCAATTCATGTTTGAATGAATGTCATAAGATTATAGAATAGCGGAATATTCCGGAACAAATGGCATGCCATACTACATTACTTGTAAGTAAGGAATTTGATGGGTATACTGGCACCAAGGGTTGGCATAATTATTAACAGAAAGATTAGCACGCGCCATTTCTTTGCACGTCATAGACATTACTTTACGAAAATTGATAAGTTCTATCCTCTATATCTCGCTATCCCCGACCCCATCTTGGCAAGTTTTACTGCCAGCAAAGATAAGTAGGAAAATGACCTTTTGTACACATTTCCAGCTCTACTGTACATACGTATATAGTGTTCTTACCACGAGGTCAAAGGAGATGAGTGCCTTGGCAACAATCTCAGAGGCTGGCATGACGTTGGTGACGTTGACAGACACGTGTGATATGGGGCTCTCCAACTGACCGTTGTTGACCTTCAGGACACCTCGGACTGAGTCACTGGCAGACTGGGGGGAGGGGGAGGGAGGGAGGGGGAGGGGGTGAAATTCAACACCTATACACAATGGAACTATAATCTGAATGCCGATGGGACAGAAGAAGGTGGCCATGTTAGCGTGTCCTTATTTCAGGAGTTACATTGCATGCATATGAGGAAATAAAAGGTGTCCTTACTAGAGAAGTATATACCTCATTTCATGGGTCTTTTGGGAGAATTGTTATAAAGATGGGTTTGCACAATCATCAGTAATGGGAGGGGACGCCAACAGGGAAGGTTTGAGGGCTTCTCTGTTTCTCTCACTCCTTTCGTCACCTCCGTTTAGTTTCTCTTCTCCCTCCTTTCTCTACTAACTGACCCTGGCTCTAATGTACAGCTTCAGTGGTCCGTAGTATCCAATCTGTTTCCCCCCTCCCCCCTTTCTCTACTAACTGACCCTGGCTCTAATGTACAGCTTCAGTGGTCCGTAGTATCCAATCTGTTTCAGGTCATACAGACACTCGGAAGGCTGCAGTTCTCTCTCGTTTCTGGCTGCGTCCACTACCTCTGCCAGGTAGTAGTTGGTTGGTGGGTCGGATATACCGCACTTTCTGAGAGATATGACCTTTGGACCAATGGAGTGAGAGGAGGGAGAGAGAGAGGAGAGATGGAGAATGAGAATAGAGTCAGGGAGAGAGAGGAGGGAGAGGGAGGGAGAGTGAGGGAGAGAGAAAGGAGGGAGAGAGATAGAGAGAGAGATTGAGAGAGAGAAAGATGGAGAACAAGAATGGAGTGAGAGGGGGAGAGGGAGAAAGAAGAAAGATTGAGAGAAGGAGAACATAAATCTTTACAAACACTCCTGGAGGTCCCTCTACTATTCATTAAAGAAATCGTATAAATTGACTACACCACATGTGGGGTTACGGCAGAAGTGTGCATCAGGTGTTTTTTTATTGAAAATCCGAGAAATCATAAATATGACGTTTTAAATTTCAGGGCGTGCTAAAGCAATGAAACCCTAAACTTGTTAATAACTAATAGTTACTTACAGCATGCCGGGCGCTTAAATGAGAGTTAAGTAATGTCACCAGTAATTGGATTATGGAGGGTTTTAAATAAGTAACCTCAAAAGGTTGCTACGGTAGCCAAATGTAGTCTCAGGAGGGTTAAAAGATACCCAAAATGGAGTCCGAGGAGGGTTAAAGAGAGACCTCAAGAGAGTTAATATAGCAGCCAAATTAAGTCTCAGGAGGGTTAAAAGGTACCCAAAATGTAGTCCAAGGAGGGAGTTAATATAGCAGCCAAATTAAGTCTCAGAGGGGTTAAACTGGAGGCCTAAGAGGGTTAAATTTATCAGGTAGTTGGCTGACCAGGAGCTCGCTGGCAGTGACTTTCTTCCCGATGTGTGTGGGATGGACTGTCGTGTTCCGCCATTTCTTGAAGTCAGTCTGTCCTCCGCTGCCATCGATGATGATGATGGGGCGCCCCTTACTTCCGTACTCATCTTCTTCCTCCTCTTCTTCTTCGGGCCCGTCAGCAGGCGTGGGGGACAGGGCCTCACCTGAGGTAAAGACACAAGGAAGTTTATTATACAGTGGAACTCCTCTAATCCAGACACCAATGGGACAGAGGAAGCTGTCCGTATTAGTGAGGCGTCCTGAGCATTATACAGTGGAACTCCTCTAATCCAGACACCAATGGGACAGAGGAAGCTGTCCGTATTAGTGAGGCGTCCTGAGCATTATACAGTGGAACTCCTCTAATCCAGACACCAATGGGACAGAGGAAGCTGTCCGTATTAGTGAGGCGTCCTGAGCATTATACAGTGGAACTCCTCTAATCCAGACACCAATGGGACAGAGGAAGCTGTCCGTATTAGTGAGGCGTCCTGAGCATTATACAGTGGAACTCCTCTAATCCAGACACCAATGGGACAGAGGAAGCTGTCCGTATTAGTGAGGCGTCCTGAGCATTATACAGTGGAACTCCTCTAATCCAGACACCAATGGGACAGAGGAAGCTGTCCGTATTAGTGAGGCGTCCTGAGCATTATACAGTGGAACTCCTCTAATCCAGACACCAATGGGACAGAGGAAGCTGTCCGTATTAGTGAGGCGTCCTGAGCATTATACAGTGGAACTCCTCTAATCCAGACACCAATGGGACAGAGGAAGCTGTCCGTATTAGTGAGGCGTCCTGAGCATTATACAGTGGAACTCCTCTAATCCAGACACCAATGGGACAGAGGAAGCTGTCCGTATTAGTGAGGCGTCCTGAGCATTATACAGTGGAACTCCTCTAATCCAGACACCAATGGGACAGAGGAAGCTGTCCGTATTAGTGAGGCTGTCCTGAGCATTATACAGTGGAACTCCTCTAATCCAGACACCAATGGGACAGAGGAAGCTGTCCGTATTAGTGAGGCGTCCTGAGCATTATACAGTGGAACTCCTCTAATCCAGACACCAATGGGACAGAGGAAGCTGTCCGTATTAGTGAGGCGTCCTGAGCATTATACAGTGGAACTCCTCTAATCCAGACACCAATGGGACAGAGGAAGCTGTCCGTATTAGTGAGGCGTCCTGAGCATTATACAGTGGAACTCCTCTAATCCAGACACCAATGGGACAGAGGAAGCTGTCCGTATTAGTGAGGCGTCCTGAGCATTATACAGTGGAACTCCTCTAATCCAGACACCAATGGGACAGAGGAAGCTGTCCGTATTAGTGAGGCGTCCTGAGCATTATACAGTGGAACTCCTCTAATCCAGACACCAATGGGACAGAGGAAGCTGTCCGTATTAGTGAGGCGTCCTGAGCATTATACAGTGGAACTCCTCTAATCCAGACACCAATGGGACAGAAGAAAGTGTCCGTATTAGTGAGGCGTCCTGAGCATTATACAGTGGAACTCCTCTAATCCAGACACCAATGGGACAGAGGAAGCTGTCCGTATTAGTGAGGCGTCCTGAGCATTATACAGTGGAACTCCTCTAATCCAGACACCAATGGGACAGAGGAAGCTGTCCGTATTAGTGAGGTGTCCTGAGCATTATACAGTGGAACTCCTCTAATCCAGACACCAATGGGACAGAGGAAGCTGTCCGTATTAGTGAGGCGTCCTGAGCATTATACAGTGGAACTCCTCTAATCCAGACACCAATGGGACAGAGGAAGCTGTCCGTATTAGTGAGGTGTCCTGAGCATTATACAGTGGAACCCTCTAATCCAGACACCAATGGGACAGAGGAAGCTGTCCGTATTAGTGAGGTGTCCTGAGCATTATACAGTGGAACTCCTCTAATCCAGACACCAATGGGACAGAGGAAGCTGTCCGTATTAGTGAGGTCGTCCTGAGCATTTATACAGTGGAACTCCTCTAATCCAGACACCAATGGGACAGAGGAAGCTGTCCGTATTAGTGAGGGTCCTGAGCATTATACAGTGGAACCCTCTAATCCAGACACCAATGGGACAGAGGAAGCTGTCCGTATTAGTGAGGCGTCCCTGAGCATTATACAGTGGAACTCCTCTAATCCAGACACCAATGGGACAGAGGAAGCTGTCCGTATTAGTGAGGCGTCCTGAGCATTATACAGTGGAACTCCTCTAATCCAGACACCAATGGGACAGAGGAAGCTGTCCGTATTAGTGAGGCGTCCTGAGCATTATACAGTGGAACTCCTCTAATCAGACACCAATGGGACAGAGGAAGCTGTCCGTATTAGTGAGGCGTCCTGAGCATTATACAGTGGAACTCCCTCTAATCCAGACACCAATGGGACAGAGGAAGCTGTCCGTATTAGTGAGGCGTCCTGAGCATTATACAGTGGAACTCCTCTAATCCAGACACCAATGGGACAGAGGAAGCTGTCCGTATTAGTGAGGCGTCCTGAGCATTATACAGTGGAACTCCTCTAATCCAGACACCAATGGGACAGAGGAAGCTGTCCGTATTAGTGAGGCGTCCTGAGCATTATACAGTGGAACTCCTCTAATCCAGACACCAATGGGACAGAGGAAGCTGTCCGTATTAGTGAGGCGTCCTGAGCATTATACAGTGGAACTCCTCTAATCCAGACACCAATGGGACAGAGGAAGCTGTCCGTATTAGTGAGGCGTCCTGAGCATTATACAGTGGAACTCCTCTAATCCAGACACCAATGGGACAGAGGAAGCTGTCTGTATTAGTGAGGCGTCCTGATCATTATACAGTGGAGCTCCTCTAATCCAGACACCAATGGGACAGAGGAAGCTGTCTGTATTAGTGAGGCGTCCTGAGCATTATACAGTGGAGCTCCTCTAATCCAGACACCAATGGGACAGAGGAAGCTGTCTGTATTAGTGAGGTGTCCTTATTTCACTCAGTCAGAGGTTAAATGCATGGAAGTCAGTTCTTGGGGAAAGTAAAGGTGTCCTTATTAGAGAGATGCCTTCTTTTCAGAGGCTCCAGATGTGTTCCACTGTATTGAGAATCTATACCCACCAAACACACGCACGCACACACTGAAATAGACCAAATTTGGAAAATTGGCACATGGTTTCCCCTCCCTCTCTCCTCACCATCCACTGCCTCCTCCTCCCTCTCCTGCTCCACGTGACTCTTCACCGACTGGCGGTGTGTCACGGCTCGCGGCGCCAGGACCAGGTGCCAAAGGTCACGGTGGGTGCACACCCTCTTGTTAGCCTCTCTCTCCTCCAACTGACCTATACAGGCCGAATGGACCTGTATATACACAGAGATAGAGAATATATGTATACACATCACACACTGGCCAAATTTTTTGTAAAAATAGATTTCACGTTGAAATTTGAAAACATTCACGATGTTCAAACTGAGATATTATATAGTTCAGTTAACACCAACAGTTAGACTGCTTTTATACGGCATGTGAGGGAAAATAAAGGATCATTCGGAATACCCTGATTACAGATGGGTATAATTTGATCCCCCCCCTCCCCACCCCACCCACCATCCACCTCCCCTGTTCTTAAGTTCACCCCATCAAGTTGATGCAACGTGGAATTTTGGCTATTCTTGCGTACAAAACTGGCTGATGGATTCACGTCGCGAAAAACAAAATGTAGCAAACGGTGCCAAGTTCCCATGGGTCAATTTAACCCCGAGCTTGACTGAATTACTCACATTGTAGCCACCAGCAGCCGCAGCGGAAACCGGAGAGAGAATTTTCCGTCGAGCAGTTCTTGGTGCACACTACGCAGCGGGCGGAGGATGTGAGGTTCCCCTCGATCCAGTGGTGACGTATTTTGTTCTCTTCAAGAAGATAAAGTTGAGCTTTCGAAGGCCTGTGAACCACGTCGTGTATGCCTGCCTGTGGGTGATTGCATTCGGTCTATGCTTCGCTACTGTCTATGGAACGTATGGAGTCTTGAACGGCCGAGAGTGGTGTCAGCGGTGGAGGAAGTGGGATTGATACGGATGGAGAAACATTGTGTATCAGATGCTGAGCCCATCACATATGGTCGTTTGGGCTCTCCATCGTCATCTTTGCTGTCACAACGGCTACGGTTGGATCGCAAAACGATTTCCTCTCAATGAAAATCTGGACTCCTATGAGCTCGGCTCTCCCTCTTCTCGTCTACCTCATACACCAGTGGTACTGTTCGTCCTATTTTACCACCCGTCGTGCCCCCGTCTACGTACTGATATCACTCTCGCAGCGTACACAATTGGCCACTGTTGTTATATCGTACGGAGCGGCTGGAATTGTAAGCTTCATCTCATCGACAATCCCTCTCGTAATCTCGAAGACGCGCTGCTTTGAACCTGGTTGGTCTTGGAGGAGGTGGAGGAAGAAAGAGGGCCGCACCAACACGACAGAGGACGAGGCAGAGAAGAAGGGGGAGTGGGTCCGAGAACAATCTACGTCAGTGAGACTGAGCGAGAGGGCGGCCGAATGAGAAGAGGATGAGGCTTGAAGAAGACGGCGCTGAGGATGAAGAAGATGGTGGGCCCTAGTCACGGAGAAACTCTAAACTCATTAATTATTTATGTAGAGAGGTATGGACAGTATACACAAGAAGACACACACGGTAGCATATAATAAGAACACGCACTATCATCAGTGCGCGGTACTATACAGCCCTCTGTATATAAGCACGTCATTCTTTTATAGGTATACACAAGGGTAATTGATAATGTTGCGACAGACAGTCACAAGTTATAAGCACTACGCACTATGACGACATAGTGTATGAACGGAAGGGCTATTTCTCCTCTTTATACACAGCAAACATGATGAACTGAAGGGTATTCTCCCTCTTATAACCACAGCAACATGGATGAACTGAAGGCTATTTCTCCCTCTTTATAACCACAGCAAACATGGATGAACTGAAGGGCTATTTCTCCCTCTTTATACCGACAGCAACATGGGATGACTGAAGGGCTATTTCTCCCTCTTTATCACCACAGCAAACATGATAAAGAACACAGCATTATCACAATAGAATTACAACTCTCAAAAACTCAAAACTCATAATACGTAGAATAAGCACGAAACAAAAACATTTTATCAAATATCGAGTCAAAAAAAATGTAAAGATGGAGGAGAAGGAGGAAGGGGGGAAAGATTGGGGAGCAGTAGGGACGGTCCTTTTTGGATGGGAATTGTTTTGGTTTTTTTTGTTTTCAGGGATTGACGGCCAGTTGTCCTCCTCTCCTCTCGCGAAGGACGGGGGTAGTTGCGGGAGTTCAGAGTGCCGCTGTGCGGCGGCGCCGGAGCTGAGGACGGCCAGTGGTGTGACGTTGGTTCTCAGAGAGCTGTTTCGAGAGGCCTCAGCTGTTCCGGGTGTCCTTCTGCGACACCTGCCGTGAGAAACTTGTCTCCTCCCCCATCAGCCATCATACCTGGATACCCATAACATGTATGGGATGCAAGAAATGCCACTAGATTATAGTACCAAGCACAGTATTGGGTGCCACTATATCGTACCACAGGGCACACTTGTCAGAAAGTTTGGGGAAAAATTTATAAGAGGTATTAAACATCACCGGACACAATGGGGACAGAAGATAGCGTCCTCATTTCAGGGGTGTCCCCTATAGAGAGGGGTCAACTATGCTTTTTACGATACTTTTCAGGGAGACATCATGGTGGACAATGCCTGGAGGTGGGGCCTGCTTCACCATTCCACTTGTAATGGCAGGTTTTCTTGATTCGAGACACACCTGTATATAGGCAGAGGGGAAAAGAGGATGGGAGGGCGGAATGAAGAGTATGAAAAATGGAGTGAGGAGAGTTCTTGATGCTTACTCTAGCTCCCTGTGCCAGTCTAATTCCGCTCCGAATACCGCACTGCGATCTGACCTGCGAGTGTCACATGACCAACAGCCAAATCATGTTGATAGTCATGGGACTTGCTCCCTAACATGTGAAGGGCACCTGATATTCCCACAACCTCAAGTTTCCCATCCCCATAGCGTGAGTGTAGTGAACAGCTAAAATAGCAACAATTGACATCATTACAATGTCTTCTAAAAAAACCACACAAGCAGTGCTCACCGAATCTGCAGCAGAACCCCCATGGGTCTTTACCAGCTCCCCCAGCTGAAAAAAATTTCACCCTAAAAAAGTATAAATAAAAATTTAATCTATAAAAATCCGAATATTGACGGAAGATGATCCCTTCTAACTCTGGTAGATCCACTTTAGTTCCATCCACCTACAGGGTAAAATAAGAGGCGTGGTTAAAAATTTGAGGGGAAGCAGTAAAATTGCGTAAGTGATTGTAACTCACATGTGAGTTTGAAAAGGAAGAGGAAAAGGAAAAAGTAAGAAGAAAAGAAGTGCAAATAAAGGAGGTGCATATCAAGACTAGTGACACAGAGAACCACGACAACTGAAGCAAGTAAATCGAAATAACCCCGTTGTTTCACCCCGCCCCCCTCGCGCCCTGCTCCCCGATGCCCGACATCATACCAGTGTGCCTCTTCCCCTTGTCCTCTCGCTGCGTTGCCGCTTTCTCCCCCTCCCCGGTGAGCGCCCTTCCCGCCCCGCCCCTCTCCTCTCCTTGCCCCGCCCTCCCTCTCCTCTTCCCGCCTCCCCCTCTCCTCCCGCGGTCCCTTAGTCCTCTCTCCCTCCCTCTTCCCGCCCGTCCTCCCCCCCTACCTACCCCTCAACCTCTCCCTCCCCCTCTCTCTCTCTCTCTCCCCCCTACCTTCTTCCTTCCTTCTCTCCCGCTCTCCCTCTCTCCACCTTCCCGCTCGCCTCGCCCCCCCCGCCTCCTCCCGTTGCCTTTGTCACCCCCCTCCTCGTCTCCCCCTCCCGCCCCTTTTCCCGCTCTGCCTCTCCCTTTCTCCCTCCTCCTCCCTCCCCCCCCTTTTTCCCCTTTGCTTCTTCTGTTGAACAATCCGATTTGGAACACCAGCTTGCTGGAGTCCCAGTGAAATACACCCCCTTGTTGTGGAATCTGCGAGACAAGAGAAGGAGATAGGAGGAGGGAGGGAAGATGGCGGAGAGAGGGGAGGAGAATGTAATCAATGGTTGTTTAAAAAGAAGAGAAGTGACAGAGTTTTGCGAAGCCAACTGACGTAAACGACGTTGAATTTATCCGGGGGTTCTCTTCGCGAGCGTGTGAAACTCGAGGGCAAGGCCGCATTCCAGCCGAGGACGCACAGTAGTTGTTCATCACCACACTCTTACGGCGACGTCAGGATCGCCGGGGGGGGACACGATACGCGGACTCCCGGCGAGAGGAACGGTTGCTAGGCAACAGGGAGGGGTCAGCGGCCCACGACAAGTCCACCTAACAGGCACTAGGCACATTACAACCAAGCAATAAGTACAGCACACAATGTGATGATTCATAAAATTCTAGAAATAATGGTGAGTTTTTTCCCAGACCTGCCAGGGAGGACGTGTTGGCGTCTTCGAGGCCAGGGAGCAGTTGCATTCACCTTTTCACCGGTTGGGTAACCTCCGCACCCAGGGGGGCCCGTGCCAGGTCGTTACCGCGGACGAGAGGTGTGTTGCTAGTAATAATAGGCCAGCCCATCAAAGGGTATTGCACATGACACAGTTCGAGCCGCGGTTTGCATTTAGTGTTTATCATTAACGAGGTGAACGTTGATAACCCTCCCCCCCCTCTCTCACACAACGGTCCCGAGATAGATGGAAGGACGGCGCAGGGAGGAGAGGAGCAGCCCAGGAATCCCTCATGTCCTGAAGAGCCGACAGAACCAGCCAAAAGGTACCCGTTCCCCACAATCAGCACTTGAACGCTTCATGTGGCCAACACATACAACCTGAAAGACCAAAACACACAGACACAATAATTATAGCGGGTTAATTCAATAATACATAAATGCATTACATATCAAGCGAGGAGGGAGAGAGAGAGAGAGAGAGAGAGAAAGCGGGAGCATCCATTTCACCCTGGAGGGGACCCCGTTCATGAGGTCGTTTTACACTGGTGGGGGAATATGACGACGAAAACCCAGAGATCAGTTTAACCCTTGGTTCCCACACTCGTCCTGTCACAAAGACAAGGAGGGGCTCCTGATCTAACCAACGGGCATCCGGCTGTGAGAGAAAACCGTACTGAAATAAACTTCTTCTAGAAGTACATGAAAGTCACATTACGCGACCATACAATGAATAACTATGCACTATGTATGTATGTGATACTTATAATGGATGTATTTTATAAATGTATAGAAGATATACAGGCCAATCGAAACGAAGT